CAACAGCGTATGATCAGTGTGTACAATTTACTATTTACAAAGACTGTTTATAATTACATCACTGCTAACAGCAAGGAGAGGGGAGAGGTAGTCATCCATCCAAAAACACCAACGCAGCATCAAATGCACACACACACAAATGCTACACATGTGATCAGGGATGATAGTATTTCACTTTATATTTCACCAGGATTTACCAGGAACTGTGCGTCTCCACCTCTCTTGTCTTTCATCCAGGTTTCTCCTTGCATTTGGTTATAAGTTTATCTGTGGTGGTGGTTCTGCTGCCTGTTGTTCTGCTGCTTATCTACAGAAAATGGGCTGGTGGCTCTTTCGGTGAGTTACCTTCCAACATTATCTGCACATTTGATATTCATTAATTCAAAATATTTCTTTTTATTGGTTGCTGACGTGCCCAGTTTGCGTCACAGTTTATATCCAACAGGCAAAAGCACTCACATAGCACTTTGCTGAAAATGTTTTAGACTCTGAAAAAACATGTAAGAATTCGGTGAATAAAGTTAATAGTAACTTTCTGTCTTTTCTACAGGTCTGAACAGCAGGAGACACTCAGAACAAGGCCAGCCTGAGGTGACTTATCTGTTACTTGTTTACTCTCTTTGTCATCTTTAAAAAAAACTGTACTATTGAGCTGGAAAGAAACAAAAGATCAGGATTTCCAATTTATGTTTATGTGCTGATCTAATGGGAAACTTTTAAGTAATATTGCACTTCAGCATGTGCCTAACATGCATTAACATTATACTACACTAAAAAACTGTTTGTTTGTAATTTGAACACTCCAGACCCCAATCGGACGGCCAACTCCTCCTCCAAGCCCAACAGGCATCAGAAAACAGGGGTGTGAAGACTCCATACCTCCCTTGACCCGCTCATATGTAGTGTTGATGCATGTGTGTTCTAAGGTGATTTAAAACCCAGGGGGGCATGGAGCTACCTGCCAGAGAGCAGCAGGTAAGCGCATAGCCCCTCCTGATAGTAATTCGTTTGCACTATTTATTGGTTCCGGGATTCTGGAGCCTCGCATGTCCCACAGGGTGAGAGGTGGACAGGTCACTAGACTGTCTCACGTGAAAGTCTTCTGACTATAATAAAAGACCCACAAAGAGAGGAACATCTGATCACCCTAACTGTGAAGCTCAGGCTAAGCATTCACTTGATAGACAGTCTTTCTTTTCTTTTCTGTGTATGACGTCAGTTAGAGGGGATATTTTAGATGTTACAATCTTTGACACACAGCTCAGGAAGCTCCACCCACCTGCCGTTACAAACTCATGTTTACAAGCCAATCAGGAGAAAGCTGACTTAAATGGAGGCTGGTCTTAACAGAGGGGTGAGCTGAAAGAGGATGGGGGACGAACTGAGGGAAGCTTTAGATCACTGTCAGACAATTATTTAAAATAAATTGTCATTGAAGTCCATACAGTCTGTTTTGGTAGAGACAAAAAAGAACTCTGAAAACCAAAAGAGTAAAGTTTTGGAGGATAATTTAAATGGAAACAGACACTTATTGTCTCTGTGGTAGAAAAACTGCAGACAGGAGGAGTGTTTATTTTAAGGAAGGGGCACATTAATAAGAGAAGTGACAAGTTCCTAGTTTGTAAATAGAGAAGGAAGAGAATCAGCTTGAACTCTTCAGAGCATCAGTATGAAAGTTTGTCACATTTTGTTCTGCGTCATCTTCCTCCGTAAGTAAATTTTCTTCTTCTTCATATTTAATTTTTTCTCTTCTCAGTGTTACTTGGTTGCTTTCTCATAAATGAAAGTTGACCCCTAAATTTTGTTCCCTGTTGAACCGTTTTAACCACAAACTGTTTCGGTCTTTCTCTGTTCCTGTGGTTAATCGTGGTGTAAGATCACTCAAATTTTGTTTCGTCCCACTGCGTTGCCCAGAAATGTTTTATCTCAGTTTGTTTCCAGTCAAATGTTTCTTCTATAATGTCTAAAAAGATTAATTTAAGGTTGCCTTTTCTCGCACAGACAGTTAAAATCCAGACTGTAGTCTTATACTAATATATCTGTATGGAAGTAAATAGTGCTGCTTCCTTCTTTGTGAATTATTCAGAGCTTGTGATGCAACAATCATTTTTCCACGACATTTTTATTAACCTAGTTAAGAACAACAGGGCAACACTTACGCAGCATCGTCAAAATGCCATAAACCCACAAACAAATAAAAGGTTGGTTTTTAGAGATTAACTCTGAGTCTTTCTCTGCAGATGGTCTGTTAATCTGTACAAAGTCTAATGACAAGTAAAAATGTAATTTAACTGATGTACTTTTAAATGTTGCACTCAAATAAAGTGTATAAGTATCTGTTTCCAGTTTTATTTATTTAAAATACTTTATCATTGGACTGCAGTGTTTTACATGATGGTAAGAATTGATTCTTCCTGTTTTCTACAGACCTGCAGGATGGGAACACTGGACTTGCCAACGCTGAAACTCTCGTCTATGAAGGAGTGGAAGGAGGAAACATCACAGTCGAATGTAAATTTTATTTACTAGGAAGTAAGACATTGTTCTGCAAAGATGAATGTGAAAAAGGAAACGTTCTCATTGAAACAGCTGATTACACAGCTCAGAGCGGCAGATACAGCATTAAATATGAAAGAAATTATTTCTCAAAGGATATTGTGTACGTGAGCATCACACAGCTGAACAAGTCTGATTCAGGATGGTACAGGTGCAGACTGGACAGAACTTTACAACCATGTGATTTTCAGCTTGTCATCACAGGAGGTGAGTAAAAAAAATTATTCATGTCCCTGAAGATGTGAAAGTCTCAATGATCACAGTTACATATCTTTCAAATAACCTACATGTGTCATATTTACACTACAAGTTTAGTTTCATGAGTTGTGCTGTAAACACACATTAACACTTATTACTCACATGCAGACAGAAAACCTGCTACAAGCAGGATTATTATTATTCTGATTGTTTCTTTGTTCACAGCTTCAGACACTCCAACACCTCATGAGCCTTTATCAACATCAACATTTCTCTTATCAGCTTCCACAACAACAACAACAACGACACACTTCAGTTCAGGAAGCTTCACACCTTCATCAGCCTCTCCTGAAACACCGTCATCAGGCTCAGGTACATCATATATGCACGTGTGAATGTGTGAGTGTGAATCAGTCTCGTGTTTATCAAACAACCTTCATCCATGTCCATTAATGACACATCAGCAGGAGTGGAAGAAGCACTTTGATGTATTCCTGAAGTATAATTAGAAACAGTCGCGGTGCAGAAATACACAACTCTGTTAGAAGTTGTTACGTTCCCCTAAAAGGGTCAAGGCAATGAGGGAAAGTAACAAAAAGTGTCCGGGTCAGAGAAAGGAGACAAGGAGGCAAAAAGATTAAATTAAAGAGTTTATTTAAAGAAGCTAAACTAAAAGAGACGGAAAAGCCACTATCCCCATTTAACGAAACAAACAAAACTCAAGCATTGGTCAATAAACTAAAAAATAAGTCAAAAAACACAGCTCACTAGCTGGAACCACACAAATGGCACTCTGGCCCAGAGCTCACTTTTCCCTGGGCTTAAATACTTTTATTTACTGATGTGAGTCAGCTGTGTAAAAGAGAAAGGAGGCACCTCAGGAAGAAGAGATTGTAGGACACGCCCACACAGGCACCTTCAGGAGGAGGCCCTGCTGCTAGGGCCGTAACAGAAGTAAAAGGAAAAAAAGTATTCACATTAAAATAGAATTAAGGTACCAAAAGTAAAGTACAAGAGTCGTTTTATTTCAAGCTAAACTTCAAAGTTATCAAATAAAAGTAGTGCAGTATGGCACAACATCTGAATGAAGAACTCAAGAAGTTTAAACCACTGGGCATTAAAGCTGAGTGAGAACATGCCTGACTTCCTCAGAGTTTCACTACATGAGTTCTTAGTGGCAGACAAAGATGTTGTTGGTCCATCAGTCAGCAGTTTCTCAGATTTCTTTCCATGAATTTATACAAGTATCAGTGTAACAGTCACACATACAGGAAAAGCCTCATGTAGGTTTTTTACCAAATATTTTAAAAACAATCAGAAGGCATTCAAGTATTACAAGTGAGTACTACAAAGACCTTTGTTTCAAAAACAAAACATTTCCTATACTACTTCACATTTTAATGAACTTCCTTGAATTACAACATCATAAAGATAATTTTGCACAAACTGTGTTTTGTTTAGTTTAGTTTGTGTGTCTTTAGTTGCATCAGTTAACCTTTATTGATTAAGAGAGTAACACTAAAACTCTGTTCTGTTGAGGTGCAGATAAGCTGCTTTACATGATTCTGACTCTGGTTCTTATGATCATCATCTTATCAGCAACTTTGCTGATTTGCTACAAGAACAGGAAGGCCATTAAACCCAAAGGTGAGCCTACAATAAACACACAGCAGTGTTTCATCTTTTCAGCGCACATCACACTGATGTACATTAATTTCCTGGAGGTTAACCTATAAAATAAACCTGGAGATTAACCCGACATTACAGTTAATCTAAACTTATGCTGCAGACCTAGTCATCAGGTATGAACTCACCACCCACTGATGAATCATCTCTGCTGCTGACAGAATAAAAACTAAAATTGACTCGTGTACATTTTGTTTAAATTCTATTGTGTCTTAACTGTGATACTCAGTAAATTATCTTACAAAGTCAGTAGTTTTCCAGCCTGGCTTTAAACAGGTCAGACTATCAATTATGTTAAATGATGTTTGTTTTCTGACCTGCATTTTCAGGACCTCCTGTGGAAACAGAGTACGCCAACATTACACGGGTGAGTTTTAGGAGCTGTGAGACACCTGAGCTTCATTATCGCTTTATTTGTATCAACCAGCTGGTTTATTCTCCTTCTGCAGGCCAAGCAAGAAATAAGAGAGGGGGCCCCACAGAGGAAGGTGGAAGTATCTTCAATTTACACCACTGCAAAAGGCCCCCAACCAGATGGAGCTGAAAACATCGACCTCTACAACCTCACCACCTGTTCTCAGAACAAAGTAGATACAACTCGTTTCTTATTTTAAACTCTGATGTCCAAATCCAGGACAAACCAGTCTGAGTAACGAAGTAATTCATCAGTAATCATGGATGGATATTATACTATTATTATGCCCTGTGGATATAACATTACAAAGCTGTTGTTTGCAGTTTGAATGCAATAGTATAACAGATACTTCTTTTATTCTGTTGTAGCTGAATGTTATGTTTTTAAAGATTTCACACTCAAAATGTGGGTACAACTTATATGTACAAGAAAGAATGATGTCTCAGGCTGTAGCTCCATAAACCTGTATTTAAATTACAAACACGTTTTAAGGCTCTGAAGGTTGATCTCACTTTTCTTTCAGGCTGAAGACGACATGAATAAAGTTAATTATGCTGAAGTGGATTTTTCCCACATTCCTGCCACCAACAACACGTCCTGTAGTAAAACGGATGAAGTCGTCTACTCCACACCTCTGGTACATACCAGGCCTTCCAACCACACCACAGATGCTTCACCTCCTCTGTACTCTGCAGTTAAGAAACAGTATTAATGCTGTTGATGGCACTTTCCCTCTCACAAAGATGAACAGGTGATTATAATTCAGACAAAAGTGAATGTTCTTTTCTGTTTATTGCAAATATTAATGTGCTTTCAATCAGTTAATCTCAGGTTAAAATGTTTCTTTATGGTAGTTGATAGTTTAGTTTAACTTAACAGAAAACTACAATTCCCATTAATATTTCCATAGAAACTCTGTAGGACAGATTTAATGAAACAGTTGCATAAAGCTCTGCAAACTGACCTGTCCCTTGAGTAGTACATTGCATTTAGCTGTTGGATTTCCAGATAGTAATCCTATAACCAAGCCTGTGTCTGTAATCATGCAGCATTATTAGAGATCCCTAATTGTAGTTATCAAAAAGGCCATTTTTATTGTGGCTAACACTCCTGATAGAGGTTTACCTCAAGACCATTCTGCCTCAACTCATGCTCCATAACTTTGGCTAACGGTGTGCATGGTTGATTATTTTAAAAGCATTTATTTTAATCAAATAGTAGTTTGTTTGTTTTTTACCAGACCTAAAAAAAAAAAATCTGATACTAAAAAGAAACAAATTAAGGAAGCTGCAAAACAAAACAAAAAACAAAGGAACTGTTATTATATTATGTTATTATTCCAGTTTACTCTCACCAGAGCCATCCTGGTCCTAAACAACTTTTACCTGTGTATAAAATCACAGCAGAAATAAACTGTGACCTGCTACAAGCAGGTGGTTGACAAGCTGTCATGGTGGCTACATCCATCTTTCATATACATTCTTTAACATCCAAAGACCTGACATCCACATATGTGGAAAATACATTTTGGGTTGTCGACACCAAAATACCCAATTTTGCTCTACAACGGCCAGAGATCCACTTACGAGGACATTATACTGCCACTGTTCTATCGAAATTTAAAACGAATGTCCTCTTATGTGGATCTCAGAAACAAAAATCAGGTATAAAAAAAAAATCAGGTAATTCTTTGTTTTTCCATTCATCAGGTCCCAATCAGTCCAAATAAGGCTCACATATCATTCACTCATTCGTATACTGAGAGTAACTAAATATGTATTACTATATAATCTTAATAATATTACATTATTATTTTTCTGAGATATTGCATTTGCACATATGTGTTCTTATTTAAAATTGGTTTTATATTTATGTTTTATTGAACAATGTTAATGTATTTGTTACAGTGTTGCTGTAAAATAATATTTCACGAGAAGGATTATACTATTTAAGTAAATAAAATGTAAGAATATTTTGATGTGTTTCAAGGAAATGAACGGTCAAAAGAAATACATAACATGTGTTTTCTCAATAAAAATACT